GAAATAATGTAGTGAACCTGATGGTTTCAAAAACAATGCACAATAAGATACATGTCAAATGGATACCACCTAGTGGATGAAAAGGAACACTAAGACTGTATCAAAGAGCTGTTGCTGTTTAGTCTTTTAGACCTGAGGCACAATGTGATGTTATGTTTTAACATGATATTGCCGCCCCCTTTAATTTTAAAAATAATATTTCCTTGTAAAACTGATTTCCTAGTCTTGGTGCTAGTCTTCTCTGCCCATTGTGCCTTTTGCCCATCTTGGTTAAAATCCAGTAGACTCCAGATTCTGCAGAAAATAAAGAGTTCCAGCCTTACTCTAAACACCAGCAAGGAAATTAATTTGATTGTACCTCCTGGGCTTCTATACCCTTAGGCAATTCTACTCGTGCCATAGATATGCTATATTCTCAAGCTATATGTCTCTCACTTTCTCAATCAATCATATCTGAGGACGAATTTTATCAGAGCTTCAAAAGAAGCACTGACTTTAGGAGATCGTCTCTAGTTTGCCAGTCTGATAGCGTTAATTGTGAAAGCAGCGTGGCCACAAATTAACCGTTAACTCCTTTCAGAAAACCAAACATTACTCCAAAAGATGCTAATGAGTACCCTCAGACATCTATCTAGTTGCACCAAATAGACCCCCTAATTTGAGATAATTCTTACTGAATGAATCGCAAAGCTTATGCCGCCCACCAATGATATATTAGTCTTGGTTCCAAAGAATTTATAGGTTAAAGTGAATCAAATCTCGGTGTGTTTTTCCCCCTTCAGATTAACCCGGCTAAGGCGCGAAAATTCATTTAAATTTATTAGGCAACAGAAAACTTTTTACATATTTACCGATACACCACAGAGCGAATTAATTAAAACTCCTAAGCAACGTATACACAGAGCTACGGTGTTAAAATAACCCAGCAGTCTTTTTCACGACCGCTAGCCAGCCACCTGTATCCAACGGTTATACTGAGCCTGCATAAAGATTACCTGGAGATTCAAATACGAATACGCTCATCAAACTCGTTTCTGCTCCGCATACCTACGTGGCTCAAAGACGCTACAGCTACAGCTTCCGCCCTAAGCCGCGACCGTATTTCCGTAGGCTGGACAAGGGAACGCGTTGCCATAGCAACCAGTAAGCGGAGGCTTTCATCGCTGACTGTTAGCGCACATTATGCGGTGCTCTGCTGGTACTTTGTCTGGGGTGAGTGAAATCTAGGGCTTCATTTGCAACTGATGCCCGACCGTGTGTGTTTTAACCTGGCATTTCCAACCATCTCTAAAATCTAGGTGTAAAATTATTACCATAAGTACTTGAAGGAAGCTGAGAGCAGCTGTTTGCGTGAAAAAAATGGACTTCTGGTGTGTTCTTATATATTCCAAATAACTCCCGCTTGCTGTTTCTAAATTTCGTTATGAGAGGGGGGGGGGGGAGTTCTTCCGGATCCTTCCTCGTGCTGTAGGAGTCTAACCCTCGTTCTTTAGACAGGTGAGGAAGTTAAACAACTCCCTATACAATTTATAATACGAAACCTTGCCTTTCCTGGTACAAATCTGCATCACACAGTTATGGAGCAAAAAGGGTTCCTATTTTGACCCTAAGGTAAATGATTGAGATGCCTCCCCACTATCCACCCCCATTGTTCTGTGCACAGCGTTCCCCTGCCGCTGAAGGCTTGTGTGAAGAGCTGATGCAGTGGACTGGTGGTCAGGTCGACAGGAGTATGTAATTCATTTGCACTGTTAATCCGAAGTGTGTATACTCGGAAGTAAATCCCACTGAGTTCAGAGAATCAGGGCTATTTTTGGTCAGGAACACACAGGAATGGAGTTCCAGCTGGCTTCAGAGTTGGCCACGCCCACTACAGCCAAAACCTCTGTGTGCCTGGCTACAGAGGGAAGGCCTGGAGAGCGACTCCCCCACTCTGAGGCGGGCGGGCCAGGGGGGCCCCTGGAAGGATCAGGGAGGCATTTAAATGCCTTCCTGCCTTCCCCGGCCTGTCCAAGGGCCAGTCTCCCCACAGCCAGGAGGTACCAAGGGAAGGCATGGAGGTGTGGCCTAATAGGCTAATTGGCTGCACTGGCAGGGGTGTGGCCTAATATGCTAATGAGTTTCTGCTGTTGGGTGTGGCCTATTATGCTAATAGGTTCCTGCAGGTCTTTTTCTATTAAAAAAAGCCCTGGTGAAGAATTACTCCCTAGAAAGTGTGTTTAGGATTGTCGTCTCAAAGCGCTCCTTCTAGCTCAGCCTTCATGTCCTTCATCTAAAACAGTGGTTCCTAAAAAAATGTTTGGCCACTGCCCCCCAGTGCCCCCTACCCTACCTTATAAAAAGTATTATTCAGATTTTCAGTTTGTGCAACCCACTAAGGAAGATAATAACAATATAATTCAAAACAGCATCAACTGCATATTTATTCAAAATCCAATTAAAACCTTTTTTGGTTTAATTTATTCAAAAATTTATGAAGGTGATCAAGTGATATCAACTTTTCACGGGTCATTTAGCAAGAATCTTAGATACCACATTTAGTGACTACTTCACTGTTTGGTAAATTCTTAATGTGGTGGATGGGCTTGAAGTTTCCCAGTTTCCCAGTGCCTGGTTTAAAGTCACTTAGAAGGAGGCTTAAATCACCACATTTGGTAATCTGGAGTTGCTTTCGTGGTTTGGAGAAAAGTTGGATGGCCACACTAAAACCATGTTTCACCAAATATGATACTGGAAATGCAACAAGAATCTTCTGAACAACTGTTCATAGTGCAGAATAGCGATCAGAAATTTCCTTCTGTAACCAAAACTCTTGGTGCAATTTAAACTTTGGCTTCAGCTCATTTTGTAGCTCATTCAGTTCTTCCTCTACTTCCCCAGCTTCCTCAGTATTTGAAAACGGATTTATCACCCAATCTAGAATTTCAAAAAGATGATCTTTGAATCATTCAGATATGTCTTCATGCATCATATCCAAATGGCCACAAAAAACTTGCAAATCATCATCTTGTATCTCACCTCGGAAATTGGAATAGCTCGCAAAAGCCTATATTGTGTTTGAATAGCTTTTGCTTTGAAATAAATGTAGAGATAGCAAATTTGGCCTTGCAACTACAAATTAATTTCATTAAACTTTGCAAATAATTCTGATAATAAGCCATATCAATCGTTATCTCTTTGAGTTCATCACCGAGCAAAGAAGTGTCTTCAAAAAAACACAACAGTGTCAAAAAGGTTGTAAAAACGTCTCATACAGTTGTCTTTTGATAGCAAACGTTCAAAAGTGTCAACATTCTCCAAAAACAATTTATTAGGATATATTATTAAGTCAAATACAAGTTATATTAATAGTTGTTATACATCCTTTTTTCTGTTCCTTTCCTCCCCTTGGCTTCCCACAGTGCTCCAAACCTCTAGCCCATTTCTTAGATTTTCTTCTATTTTCCCTTATCTTTTAATCATCATCTACCGGTAACATTTCTCCTATTGTTTTCTTATAATTATCTATTTTCTAATAACACACACTTTTCAATAATTGTCAAAGCAAATTAAATTGTTTACATCCCATAAAAGTGTCAACATTCTCAACATCGTTCTTCCAGAATAGTTGATCACGGAGAGCATGGGCTTTAATTTTATTCACTACAGTAATGACAGTGTGTAATGACTTGTGGAAGCGATCCCTGAAGTTTTTGGCAACAAGATGTTGATGGTGATACCATTCACACAGTGATTTGGAGAGAAGTGAATGGTAAAGACATTTGGTACTGCTTTTTCCAAGCAAGCAACATACGCATGGTAAGAAGAAGAAGAAGAGATTGGATTTATACCCCTCCCTTCACTACCCAAAGGTGTCTCAGAGTAGCTTACAAACTCCTTTCCCTTCCCCTCCCCTCCCCTCCCCTCCCCACAACAGACACCCTACCCTGTGAGGTAGGTGGGGCTGAGAGAGCTCTTGACAGAAACTGCTCTTTTTCAAGAACAGCTCTTATCAGAACTATGGCTTGCCCAAGGTCATCCAGCCAGGTGCAAGTGGAGGAGTGGGGAATCAAACCTAGTTCTCCCAGTTTTTTTTGCACTTAACCACTGCACCAAACTGGCTCTCACTTAGGCTTGTGTGAAGAGCTGATGTTGATGGTGTTCCATCAGATGCATAAGTTAGTAAGTGGAATTTCCTTGTCTTATGAAGAACTGCTCAACAACACAAAATACTGGCTCCCCTTTAGTACCTGTTATTACCTGCCTTGCAAATAACTCTTGAGCCAAAGTTCCATCTTTTAGAAATATTAATATTGGGTGGGCTACAAGTAAAATAACACATATACCTAAAAAACATACATTATAATCAACAGATTCAGTAACTAAGAACACAGTGAAAATAAATACCATTCTTAACACAAAAGTTAAGGATTTTGCAGCAAATACTTGAAAAGTGACAGAGACAACAACACATGCAGTGACAACAGTTTCTCAAAATGTGGTCAGCCAGTCTGACTAGAGCTCTGGTGGTGTATTTACTACCATTTCTTATAGTTTCCACCAGATTCCACCCACCACTAGCACCCCCCCGCTACCCTCTTGCCTCTTAGTGCCCCCAGGCAACCTCCCCCACACATACATATCCAGTGGGTGGTACCACCCACTTTGGGAACCACTGTTCTAAAACTACCAAACTGTGTTGAGTGTTGAAATCCAATAAATATGGATTGCAAATTATTCTTGGGATAAGATCATCAAGCAATTGTTTCATTAAAAGTACAGCTCTGGCCAGATTAGCAAATCCATATTCTTCCTAAATTAATATGGGAAAGTAGACCCTTAACTAATCTTCAGTTGCTTCCAATTGACTGTGTAAACTGTGTCTCCATTTAATAAACCCCTGCGGGGAAGAGGGTAGATGGATGACCAGGTGGCAAGAGTCTAGAACTTGTTTAGTGTGTGTGTATTTGTGTGTATGCCATATATCTTGTGTTTTGTTTGTATGATTACTTAAGATTACAATGGATATCACAAAAGGAAGCCTAGATGAAATTGCAAGGCCGTCTTCTAACTCAAGAATTAATCACAGAAGCAAAGCTTTAAGTGCATCCTTGGAGTTTTTAACACCAGACCCAGACATTCCTAAGGTATGACCACTGTATTGTTTTGCTAAAGTTTCTATGAGACATTCTTTTTTGTTGTGATTTGCTATTGACACATGGAATTATGCTCACACCTGTGACATAGAAGCCAAGAAAATCCCTCTTTGGTGCTTGTTTCTTATGTTCATGTACTTTTGCTGTACATGTATCTATTATGTACCATTCCTTTTGCCAGGACTTGCCTATGTGAAAAAGAGAGAGAAGCCTCAAACTGGTACTCTTCACCATTATGATTTTTTTAGCAATATAAAATGCCAATATATTTTGACAAAAAAAGAGACTTCCTTAGAGGCATTTGACTAATAGAGCAACTTTCTTGAAATCTTTTCACAAGGGATAGTCTTTACCATCATTTATGGTACAATCCTAAGAACGCTTTCTTGGGAATAAGCCCCATTGGCTAGACCTGATTAGGGTTCTGAGTAGACCTGCTTAGGATTGCTTTTTTACTCATTTACATTGTATGAATAAGCCTTTTAATTTTATTTATTTTGGTACTAGCTTGAGACTTATCTGTATTTTTTCTGTGGTCCTGCCCCACCCCCTTTTGGCCATGCACAAAACAGACTTGTAGATAAGGCCACAAATATTTTTAGACCACACTCTCTGCACATTTATGGCACAGAAGAAAGAGAACCAATCCCTGAAAAGCTTTCCTTCCTAGAAGCAATTTTAGTCATCACAAGCGATCATGCAAATGCTTATTTACAAGTCTACAAAATTATCCATTAAATACATCACATCTTTCTTACAATCTGAGGAGCTGACAGAACTTTGCATCAAACATAACATTATAGTTTGAGTTTTATTAATGATTCCAGATTGTGGTAAACCATAATTAAAAAAAAAAAAGACATGATTGCTGAAACTTTCAATTGATACATTCATTTCTAGGAATGTTCCCATGATCTTTACAATATTCCCACAGAAGATGGTTTAAAAGAAAATGATGATGAAAATGAAAAGGAATATGAAACCAAAACAATGAATACTTCAGGTGAAATATCTGAAGAAAAAACAATCTGTACTTTCCAGCAGTTGATACAAAATACAATTCAGGTGACAGGTATGAAAGTTAACTATACTTATATCCCTAGGATAGAAAGACTCAATATTATAGATTGTAAAGTAAATAAACTACTAGAGAAAACTCTGTCATCAGCTTTATAGAGTCTCAGCTGAGAAGGTCCGTGACTGTAGAGAAAAGAGAATGACAGAGTACATTTCACCGGGTGAATCAATATATAAAACAGAATTTTGCACTTTGGGGTTTCTTCTGTTGTTTCTAATATGATTTCACCTGCGTACATAGTAATACAATTCTAATAAAGCAATTTATTATATACATGATAGAGAGACCATCATGGTAAGTTCCACTCTATTTTTTTTACTCCCTTAATCCCTTCATGAGGTTTCTAGACATCGAGCCAATTGACACAGTAGTATAGAATGTTATTTATTTAGATATGTCTTTCACTTGGTAAGTCTGTACCTGCACGTAATGAGTACTGTGCTGAGTTAATCATAAAGGGGGTGGTTTATTCATAACAGCAGTTCTGAACAATGAAACTATTTTATACTATCACTAGTCCCTGGAAATGGGCAGTGAGAAACTGCTAGGCCTCTGAGGAATGTGCTCAGCTATGAAATGTATCTATGAAGCCTCATGTCTAGCTAGAACTGAGGCAGTACAGAGCAAGGTGTGAGATAGTATTGCTGCAGTTCTTATTCTTTAGAGAAGCACAGCAAGATCTTTGAACATAATGAGAAAGAGGTGAAGGAACAAGATAGTAAGGGAGAAACAACAGGTGCTGGAAGCGATGAATGCTGAGTGAGATTCCAATGCTCTCCGAAACAGATCTTGTAGCATGCACCTGCTTCCCAGCCCCATCTCCACCCATCATTACCTGGTCCCCACGTACCCCTTAGAGTAATCCTTCACATAATTATTCAGAACTAAGGATGGGCACGAACTGGGAAAATATGGTTTGGTTCGGTTCGTGGTTTAAACATAAGAACATAAGAGATGCCAATGTTGGATCAGGCCAAAGGCCCATCCAGTCCAACACTCTGTATCCCACAGTGGCCAGAAATACCAGTGCCATCAGGAGGTCCACCAGTGGGGCCAGGACATTAGAAGCCATCCCACTGTTGACCCCCCCCCCAAGCACCAAGATGACAGAGCATCACTTGCCCCGGAGTCCCTATCTATACCTTGTGGCTAATAGCCACTGATGGACCTCTGCTCCATATGCTTATCTAATTCCCTTTTGAAGTTGTCCATGCTTGTAGCTGCCACCACTTCCTGTGGCAGTGAATTCCAAGTGTTAATCACTCTTTGGGTGAAGAAGTACTTCCTTTTATCCGTTCTAACCCGACCGCTCAGCAATTTCATGGAGTGCCCACGAGTTCTTGTATTGTGAGAAAGGGAGAAAAGTACCTCTTTCTCTACCTGCTCTTTCCCATGCATAATCTTATAAACCTCAATCATGTCACCCCTCAGTCGTCGTTTTTCCAAGCTAAAGAGCCCTAAGCGCCTTAACTTTTCCCCATAGGGAAAGTCTTCCAACCCTTTTATCATTCGAGTTGCTCTTTTCTGCACTTTTTCCAAAGCTATAATATCCTTTTTAAGGTGTGGTGACCAGAATTCCAGATGAGGTCGCACCATTGATTTATATAGCGGCATTATGATATTGGCTGATCTGTTTACAATACCCTTCCTAATAATCCCCAGCATAGCATTGGCCTTCTTTATTGCAGTCACACACTGTCTCGACATTTTCAGTGAGTTATCTACTACAACTCCAAGATCTCTCTTGATCAGTCTCTGCCAGTTCAGACCCCATCAACGTGTATTTATATTGAGGATTTTTGGCTCCAATGTGCATCACCTTGCACTTGGCTACATTGAACCCCATTTGCCATGTTGACGCCCATGGCATGTCCAGTTTGTGAACCTCAAACCATCACAAATTTTTAAGGGCTAAACAAACTGGTGAGGTTTGTGATGCGGTAGAACACCCCCCCCCCATGCTAGAGAAACTAAACTCACAGAGGATCTCCGGCTGGCTCTCCTCTACCTGCCCTCAACATTTGGTGAAGATTGAATATATGGGGTCCAAGTTACAGCCTTCCAAATGAGGTGCACTCAGGGAAGTATTTTCAGGGGAAATGTCAGGTGCAGGTTCAGGAGGTTCAGGAATTTATAGAATGGATCCTGTGCAAGCTAGAGAAACCAAACTCACAGGGAATCTCCAGTTTACTCTCCTCTACCTGCCCTCCAGGTTTGGTGAGGATTGGATTTACGAGGTCTAAGTTACTCACCCCCCCCAAGAATGTGTCCCCATTCTCCATTGTTTTCAATGGAGGAGAAAAAAACAGCAAAGAAGCAAGGATAATAGAAGCCCAGCAGAACAGAATCAAAGTCCCAGAGAATCTCTGCAGTAGAAACTGAAGGTGGGGGTGTTTTTGCAAGCCCAGCAGAATCAGTGCAGTATTCCTAGCAGAACCAGTACCACTGTGGCAGTGCAAACTCAACAGGACTAAGGTGAAACCAGAGAATTTCTGCAGTAAAAACTGAAGGGTGGCACTTTTGCAAGTTCAGCAGAACCAGTGCAATGTACTAGTGCCCAGCAGAACCCAGTGCCAGTGTGGCAATGCCAGCTCAATCACAATCCAAGCAAGGGGGGCATTTTTGCAGGCCCAGTAGAACCAGTACAATGTACAGAGTGCCCAGCAGAACCCAGTGCCACTGGCATTGCAAGTTTAAAAGGCCTGATCTCAAAGCACAGAGCCACAAATGCAAGCAATGGGAGGGGTTTTTTTTGCAAGCTCTGTGCAAGAAAGGAACACTGGCAAGGGGGGGGACCCTCTTGAAATTGGCATGACTAGTTTGAAACTGACAACAGTGTTTCCAAAGCTGGAGAATTCTGCCCCCCCCCCGTTGTTTTGACATTTGGTAAACATTTTGTTTGAGTAGAGACAGTCTTTCTGAAAACGTATCCATTCACAAACTGGCACAAACCTCCATGAACAGCTTGAAAGTTCATAGAAAGTTCATGCCAGTTGACCTGCCACAAACTTCTCTTCACAAACCTGCCAAAATTTGTCAAGAACTTTCATTTGTGAGCTGGTTTGTGCCCATCCCTATTCAGAACTAAGTTCCACTTTGTTCCATGGGGCATCCTTCTAAGTTAAGTAATGTGGCTTTAGATATCTATCCATTTAGCACTTATTGGTTAAGGAAGCAAGTGAGGGGATCTTTAGGCACAAATTGCATATGTGTATGTACAGAAGGATTAATGTAAATTGAACCAAGAATGTGGAGATTAACTAGACATTGTGGGAAATGTACACAAGTGAATAGCATAAGCAGAGGATTTCTTATATTGTCTACTCAATGTGCACAGTCTCCAAATAAAGTTGGGAAAATGTGCATATATAGCAAAACAGGGTATTCCATACATTGCTGGTAATTATGCCTATCCTCTTGTTGAACTCTCTGAATAAGTGTGTGAAATCCTCATATCCTCCACTGCTTGCATTTCACATAGTGACTAGTAAACATGCATAGTGTTTAACAGGAGACTTAGGTTAAATACTAGAAATGATTTTGCCATCAAGATGTGCACCATTTCTAGCATCATTTGGACAATATACATACATATTGACTGGGCAATATGCAAATCTTTTGTTTACATTGTTCATTAGGGCATTGTTTCTAGAATTTCCAGTTGGTATATTTGATGCCTCTCCTGCACTAGGAGGATATGGCTTATTTTGTGGCAGGGCTGTAGGCTTTAAACTGCTACATGACAGAAATTAAGTAGGTGAATCTTTTTCCCATTACTGCATCTCCATGCTGGGAAAGTTTTACCTATTTTTGAGAGCCAGTTTGGTTTAGTGGTTAAGAGCATGGACTCTAATCTGGGAGAAACAGGTTTGATTCCCCACTCCTCCACATGCAGCTTCCAGTGTGACCTTGGGTCAGTCATAAGTTCTTTCAGAGCTGTTCTCTCAAGGGTTGTTCTTGAGAGAGCTCTCCTGGCCCCACCTACCCCACAGGGTGTCTATTGTGGGGAGGGGAAGGGAAAGGGAATGTAAGCCGCTCTGAGTCTCCCTTGGGTAGTGAAGGGTGGGGTATAAATCCACTCTCCTCCTCCTCTAAATTTTAGCCTGTCGACTGATGACCAAAGGAACAAAAACTCTGTCAGAAAAAGGTGGCAGCCCCACTCTTCTGTGAAGTACAGACAGGGAGGCAGTATGCATCAATGCATGTAATTAAGAAATCAGTCCTAAGCAAGTCTACTTAGAATCCCACTCAAGTCTATTCAGTAGTGCTAACTCCCAGGAAAGTGTTTTTCGGATGGTGCTTTAAGTGACGTGTTTGAGGTTGCACAGATTTTTGACAGAATGTAACGCAGAACCTTACCCCGTCCTTCAGTCTGTGTCCTAGTCTTACGTTATTATGTCTTTTCTGTGCAGTGCAGCAATAACATAATGTTTTTATATACATTTTAACAGGTGTTTCAAATTATAACAGTGATGTTGATTCCATGAATGGCTTCAGCTTTCCAACCTATATTTCAGGTTCAGCCGATTCTGAAGATGACGGTGCAGAAAGCAAGCTTTCCAGCTGCAGCAATGTTCCTCAGGATAAACAAGCTAAATTACATAGAGGTATTCTTGTTTTCAGAATGGCTAGGGGGAACTCTCCCTAGAAGCTAAAATGACTAAACTGAGGCGATTGTATTTTGGTCACATTATGAGAAGACGGGACTCAGTGGAACAGACAATAATGCTAGGCAAAGTTGAAGGCAGCAGGAAAAGAGGAGGACCCAACATGAAATGAATTAACTCTATAAAGGAAGCCATGGCCCTCAGTTTGCAAGACTCAAGGAAGGCTGTTAACGATAGGATGTTTTGGAGGACATTAATTCATAGGGTTGCATAAGTTGGAAAGCAGCTTGGCAGCACACACACACACAGGGGGAGACTGTAGGCACAAATTGCTTGTGTGTATGTTTGGAAGGATTACTATAAACTAGGAAATCAACACTAATCATACAAAGAATGAAAAACGTTATTTCAAAATCTAGGAAAACGCTTCTTTTTCTATGGGAGGGGGGCAAAGAGAAAAGTCATAGTTGAACCTGGATACCTTGTTTCTCAGAACCTGTTTCCAGAGTTGAGTTTTAGGGTCTGGAAGGCTGATGGATGACTGCCATTGTTCCTAGATATCTGCTGTGCAGAACAAAGATAAGAGAAGAAGAGATTAGTTTCATCGCCAAAATGAAGCTGACACTGTATTCTTTTCTTGCATTTCTTGGATCTTGGTCTTTTTCTACAGGAAAATGAGTCTGAGTAGGCAGATGGGATGGCCAACCCCCCTTTGGAATGAGCCTTGACTAAAGCTATCAAGTGAGCTCATGGCAGAGATGAGATTTGAACTTGGTGCCTTCTAAATCACAGCTTGTTCTATTGGCCAATAAACTATATCAACATCGGGTTTTATTTTAATTTTCCATTTGACAGTTAAGCTGGAAGACTCTAAAGAGAGCAAGGTAGACTGTCTCATCCAACAAGCCATAGAGAAGATGAAAAGGTTGGACCAGATATTGGCAAACAAACAATCTCAAGAAAAAGCAGTTAAAAAACAAGGGAAAGAGATGAGAACAAAACTGTGGGAAGAACTTCAGGTTAGAAATTGATTTTATTCATTTATTTAGAAGATTTATATCCCACCTTCTGACCCAGATCAGAACCAATGAAGCAGCTAAAATTTATGATTTAATTTTGAAGTCATTTTGTGAATGAATATCATGATCTGTAACTGAATTTGATGAACACTGGATTGCCTGTTGGCTTGGAGTCTAGTACTGACTTTATCTGCAGAATCTACAGTCTTGGACCATAATTTGTTATGATAGTGAGTCCCAGGTGCTCCACTGGCATGAACCACACTAAACCCATGTTTAGTGCTAAACCTATGTACACCATTTTGTTTTGTAGCATTTATTCCATTCTATCTATCATCCCCTTTTGCACGGTATTATTGTTACTCAAGTGCTGTTTGGTGTAATACCAGGATCTAGTAGAAAATTTGACAGCTCCATTCTTTGTTGCTAGCCCAATTACATGTACAAAATATAAACTTTGCACAGAAGTAAGTTGTGATCCCAAGATCTAGAGCATCAAATGTCCAAAAGGCTGTGCATGTCATACAGGAATAAGGATACAGCGTGAAAACCTGACATTGCTTGTTCAACCCCAGCTTCCTCATTTTTATCATATATTTTCTTTGGTTGTGTTGTCTTTTTACAGTCTATGACATCTCAAAGTTTCTCAGTGGCTACTGAAGAGGCTGAAAACACCAGCAGGTTTTTAGCTTTGGCCTCTGAAACATCTGGTGAGTAACAAGGACAAGGGAATGTTTTTTTTTCTCCTTTTCAATGCTATTACATAAAATAAGGAGCTCTGAGTAAATATGCATAGAATCAGTTGTGTGTTAGAAGCAAGCCCAACTCAGTGCAGAGGGACATACTCAGAGGTAAACATATGCATAGCATAGCAGCTGAAGGTTACAAAGTGATAATATTTCATAAGTTTACAACAGGTCTGCACTTTTGCAAAGGCAAAGCACCCATGAAGCTTATAAAGGGGACAGGCAAATCTGTATCACTGGTAGGTACAATAAGGCAAATATGTGTTCAAAATTGGTGTCATCCTCTTTAAACAGAGGTGTCTTGGGCAGGGTAAGCAGGAAGACATGCCTGCCATTATCTGTGGGGCTGGATTCTGTTGATGATCTCCCAGTAAATGCATCTGGTGCATGGAAATGACATTTTCCCACCACCCAAATATAAAATGTTGAATTGCTCGAAAAATGTAACCCCCCGCCTCCCTTCAAGGTTGCTGTTGCTGTTATTACTATTCCAGTCATACTTTGGAAAAGAGGGTGTTTGCAGTGGACTGCTGAACATTCTTCCTGGGTTGAATGTTGTATGTGGTGGCAGCTACTTGCTGCACTGACTCACAATTTACACAAGGTAAAGTGATTGGAAAGGGGCTGCGGTGGCTCAAATGATTAAGACGCTGAACTGCAGACTGGAAGGTCAGTAGTTCAGCAGTCTGAGACCCGAGTGCCGCAAGACTGAGTGAGCTCCCGTCTCTGGTCCCAACTCCTGCCAACCTAGCAGTTCGAAAGCAAGAAATTGCAAGTAGATAAATAGGTACCGCTTCGGTGGGAAGGTAACAGCGTTCTGTGAGCCTTGGCGTCTAGTCATGCTAGCCACATGACCATGGAAATGTCTTTGGACAGCGCTGGCTCTTCGGCTTGGAAACAGAGATGAGCACCGCATCCCTAGAGTCGGATTTGACTGGCTTTCAAGCAGAGGAAACCTTTACCTTTACATTTACTAAAGCGATTGGAAACCTGTACAGTTTAACTGTGTCTACATGGCGTCCACTGACTGAGAGGACTGTATGAGGAGACCTTCCAAATCTCTGTATTATTTTTCCAATTTGTACTTTAAGACACTCCGGGGGGGACGGGACGACACAATATCCTGAATAATTAAAACATAGAAATAAAGATATACATCAGGCCACGCTTATTGTGCTTTCAGACCCATCTATATATCTAATTCCCAAGGTCCCCTCTGTGTGCGGATACTTATTTCCATGGATCTGGGTCACATGGAGGGTAAACAGATCTTCCAGCAAACTTGGGGCAGTCCCCATGTTTGCAGAAAAATATAAATGTTTTTAAAAGTATACAGGGATATTTAAATCCCTATAAAAGTCTTAAAAGATGATGCTGTTAAAGTGCTGCATTCAATTTGCTCAAATTTGGAAAACACAATAGTGGCCACAGGATTGGAAAAGGTCAGTATACATTCCAATCCCAAAGAAGGGCAATGCCAAGGAATGTTCAAACTATCACACAATTGCACTCATATCGCACGCTAGCAAGGTCATGCTCAAGATCCTACAAGCTAGGCTTCAACAGCACGTGGATAGAGAACTGCCAGAAGTACAAGCTGGGTTTCGAAGAGGTAGAGGAACTAGAGATCAAATTGCCAACATTGGCTGTGTTATGGAGAAAGCAAGAGAGTACCAGAAAAAGATCTATTTCTGCTTCATTGACTATGCTAAAGCCTTTGACTGTGTGGATCACAACAAACTATGGCAGGTCCTTAAAGAGATGGGAGTACCAGACCACCTCACATGTCTCTTGAGAAACCTGTATAAGGGTCAAGAAGCAACAGTTAGAACCGGATATGGAACAACTGATTGGTTTAGCATAGGAAAAGGAGTACGACAAGGATGTATATTGTCACCTTGCTTATTTAATATATATGCAGAGTACATCATGCGAAATGCTGGCCTGGATGAATCACAAGCGG